GCGGGCCTCTCACTGTTGTGGCCTCTCCCGTTGCAGAGCACAGGCTCCGGATGCGCAGGCTCAGCGGCCATGGCTCACGGGCCCAGCCGCTCCACGGCATGTGGGATCTTCCCGGACCGGGGCACGAACCCATGTCCCCTGCATCGGCAGGGGGACTCTCAACCACTGCGCCACCAGGAAAGCCCTCTCATAGTACTTTTGAACCTCTACTTTAACGATCTGTTTTCCAGTTTACCTGTCCCAACTAGTCTATGAACTCCTTGAAAACAGAAGCCATGTCTGATTCATTTCAATATGCCATGGCCTGACACATAATGGAAGTCCAATAAACATATCTTGAATGAATTAATGAATGAACAGAATGGCTCTGCCAAGGGCTTGCCCATGGGCGAAGTACAAAAGAATTATACTAATAGTTATAGGGCTTTTTAAAAGGGGTACAGTAGTATCTTCAGAGCTCCTCGGGGACTTAGCTTTAAAAGGTTTTGGCCTCTGATTGGGAAGGTCAGATCTTGGGCCACCCAGTGAGGCACATGGAAATAAACAAAACTGGACATAAGAACCACCCATTGGGTGAACCAGTCCCTAGAAAACTAACCCAAGTGCAGGTGGCAGTGGCAGAGGTTTAGTTCTAACAGACAAAGCTTACTTGCAACCACCAGTCCCTGTCTAAACAACAGGTTAGCGGAAGGAGAGGAATTTAGGGGGTGGATATATTGAGAAGAGTCTGGCAAGAAGCAAATGTCCACAAGTTAGCTATTGGACTGAGGTTTAGGATAAAGACTCTAGCGCTTGAGACAGGAATTAACAAGAATAAGGTATAGCTCTCCAATCGTAAGATAGTACTGGGGTCACTAAATAAGTTTTTGGAACAGGTCCTAAGGAACAAGCACAAAGGCAGAAGCTCATTTCTAAAAATAAGGGCACACAAAGGGAATTAAGGCTTAAAATGAGACTGGACCTCAAGTACCAAAACCAAGGCACCATCTTCCAGTCACACAAGCTGCAAGGCGATTTGAACCTTAGCCCCCAGCTGTGGGGCTGGACCCTGTCTTGGGTCAAGGCTGGTCCTGGGAACTGGGGCAGGGCTGAATTGCAGATAAGATGCAAGTGAACCCAGTTATGAGAAAGAAGAACTTCTAAGGCCAGAGAGAGGGGCTGAAGAAGGGACAGAGCACCCGTCATGCTTTCTGAGAAAACTGAGAAGCTCTGAACCATCTTGACACAGCTGTAACCTCTTTACAAGTTGGTGATCAAGTCCTCTTCTACTTCCTGTCCCTAATCTGCCCAGCACTCAGGCTCTAAGATGTCCCGTCTTGCTCACAGCTCTCCCCTGCTCTTAGCACATTACCTGGTGCATAAGAGATACTCACTTTTTGCTTTAATGAATGAATGCCTGGCACATAATAATGCCCAGCCAGTATCCATTAAATTGAGTTCATGGCGAGAGGTAATCCTATAATATTTTTATTATTATTAGCTACCATTTGTTGCATATTTACTGGTCACCAGGCATTGTGCCAAGTGCTTTACAAGCATTATGTAACTTAATCCTCAAAACACTATTAACATCATTCTACAGATGAGAAAAATTGAAGCCGAGAGAGGTGAAGTCTCATATCAAGGCCAAACAGCTTGTTCTGACACAGTGGTTTGAACCCAGGTCTCTGCCTATGAAGTGTGTGTTCTTTAACCATTGCCGCATACCGCCTAACAGCCAAGTGTTGCAGACCCATCCCATCCTAAAAGATAGTTGAAACACATTGCAAAGGCCCTTGGTGCCTTAGCCATTCTGGGGGGAAGAGTATTTGGCCACATAAACCTGACAAGGAATTTAGGGGCTGTTTCCACCAGGGCAGAGTAACTGGCATGGGCTCTACCAGCCCGTTATGTCTCAATTGCCATAGCGTTCTACTGTCTCAAGAGAAAGCCTGTCACGCTGTGTAAATAGCTCAGTGCCCTCCTGTCACTGCACAGGACATTAAACACAGTGCTGAAGAGCAAAGCAAATTTCTTGACATTGTTCAGACAAAGACCAGCTTTCTCAGTGGATTCTGGTTTCTCCTCTGGCATGTCCTCTGTACTGCACCCACTTAATCTCCACATTCTCTTCCTCTTTCCAGTTTGTGTATGTGTGAGTGAGGGAGCTTGAGAATTAGCAAGTCCCGTATTTGTTTCGTAATTTAGAAACCAACTCTCTGCTGCTGAATAGGTAAAAATTCTCCTGGAGGAGCCTACCCGTCTTTCTCACCCAGTTCTTTCTACTAAAGATAAAAGCAATAGCCAGGGAAGGCTCTTACAGAAATGTCCTCCTCCCTCCCCTGACCTAGAACAAGTGTCTGGTGCTTTCTGAGATTATAACACAAGGTGATTCCCAGGAACCGAGAACAAACCAACCTACTTGAGTGGGCTGCCAAGTTCCACTTTCCTCTAAGATGTGTGGCTATGAAAAATGGACGTTCTTCTCATGCTTAGAGTGGGAGCTGTCTGTAAGGGAGGATGATCTAAGCTAAGTGAGTCTTCCTCTCCATTTAGAAGTTTTCATCTTTCGGCGTTGGGAAGTTTGCAACTTCTCTGTCATTGATAGAAATGGAGAAAAGTGAAAACAGGCATTCATTTCTGGCAGGCCTGGTCTCCTATGGTTTGCAAGTTGCTTGAGAAAAAGAAGGGCAAACCCCACACCCCCCACACCCCCCGGTGACTTCCCTAAGTGCTTAATAAGCAAAAGGATGGAGAACATGGAAGTATTTCTTGCAATAACACGAAAACTACACAGAGAGACACAGCTTTATCTTTAGGGCATTTTCTCTTATACTTTTAGTATGTACAACAGATCAGAGTAGGAAAAAAATGAAGAAAGGCAGAGATGAAAAAAGCTTTGCAAAGGAGATTTCAGTATCTGCCATAAAGTCTCAAGAAAGAGTCAAAATAAATTAAACTTGTTAAAGAAGAAAGAAGCCAATCAGCCTCTTTTCAGATGAGTCCTAAATGTTTTGTTTTTTTTTTCCTCTAAAGGAAATCAAATCAAGGTTGATGTCTGGGCCACCTTGTATCGCTAAGGTGGCTATTTTTGAAACAAATGTCAGTAGGACACAATGTGCCCCTGTTACATAAGCTCTTCAGAACATCATGCACTTGAAACTGTCCACCTGCTTTTAGAAGTTTTGATTTTGAGCTTAGTGTCTGTAACATTGCCACATGGCAGTTGTCCTCAGACCACAAGTTTTTACGGTTCCCAAATAGCATGTGTTTTAAGAGGACATTTTAAAACATTTTGTTGCTAGCAGGGCTCTTAGATATTCTTTAGCCTACCTTTTCATTCATTTTACACATAAATGTGGAGACTGGCCAGGACTGAACATTAGAACTGCCTATTGGGTAAACCAGGAAACCAAGTCCTGCTATAGGACAGGGATGACAGGAATAGTGGCAGGTATTGTGACAAAGTCACAAAATCACACAGCTTGGCAGAGCTTAGACTATAACTCAGGTTTCATGATTCCTGGTCCAGTGCTCTGTCCACTGAGTCATTGGTTCAGTTTACTAAGCATGTCCAATTATGGGAAGATAATCCTACCTGCCTTCAAGGGGCTTACAATCTAGTTGGATTATGAGCTTTTCCATCTGAGATACCCATCCTGTTTATCTGTGGCCTCCAGGATAATGTAATACACATCTCTAGTTATTACTTAAAATATTTGAAAACACAGATAGGCAGCTGAGGGTTTCTGCCCTTTGAGAGGAGATACGATCTAACAGAAAAAGAGAGTCAGGACAAGGGCTGGAAGGAAACTGAGGTCCTCATTGACAAAAGGACACCTCCCGGTGGGCAGCTGCCATGTTCCTTATGTTCCTAGCACTTAGAACTAAGGATAGGAAAGGACAGACAGAATACTACCCAGATTGGTACCTCTGGCTTACAAGAGAGCAGAGAGCTTGGGGATGGAGATGAGGCTGGAGGACAATTGATTCCAGGTCACATCCCCTGGGCATCTTCAGACTCCTTCACAC